AGCGGGTGGCTATTTTGAAACCCGACAATCAGCTGTTTTTGATCGTCGTTAAGCGAAAAATCGGTTCCCGAAGCAGGGAACCGATCATCATCAAATGGAAAAACCCGATTGAAACATCGTTTTGCGATTCCAATAGCGATCGCAAAAACCCATCGTAAAGCGGATTCGTCGTTAAATGGGGTAATCGTCAAACGAGGCACCACTGTAAATAATTAACTAGGCCAGCTGGAGCAAAGTTCAGAAGATTTGGGGCTTGGGTTTCCTCTTCCAGCAGTGCACACATGCCCCAAGCCAAACCATTATCTATCCAACCAAAGCACTAGCAGGCCAGTTTTTGCTCTTTGTTGTTCCAGGTCACTCTATTGATTCCATAAGGAACTGCACACCAAGTCTGCCCCATTTTTCTTCCACTTTCCAGGAGTTCCTCCTCCACAGTTTCTTCACAGGCAAATAGGAAGGGCATTTTCTTTCTGTACCTCTACACTCTAGTGCTATTTCTGTGGGGCTTTCTAGGGAAGGACCAATTTATCAAGTTCCACAAAAGCTGACAGCCAGGACCACCCTCTGGACTAGCAGTAGTAGAATAAAGGATGCAGACAGAGTGGGCTGAGGACTGGAGCCAAGTTAACACTGTTGGAGACAGCTGTCCTCAGTCCACCCGAGACACAGCTGCAAATATTAATACTTGCATCAGCTTGGAAAGAAGGAAAAAGGAGGTAGATCGGCGACAACTGGAAGGAACAGGGTGCACCTTGAAGGCTCTTTAGTCTGCAAAGCATACATTTTTCTAAGTCTTAATCTGTGTGATTGATCATAGGACTATCCAGAGATGCATGCAATGACTGATATTCTGTGGGAAGCACAGAATTGGAAACAGAATAGAGAACATTGGCTGCAAGCAAGCAAGCAAGCAAAAAGTGCCTAGCACGTGTTGCTACAAAAACATCCTTGAGAATGTAGCAATGCTTGGTGGAAACTGGGAAAAAAAAGCAGGGGAGTAGCTGAGCAAAATGGCCACAGGCAGAGTCATTCATCATTCATGTCAAGGCATCCTGATGTAGAAAATTTGATGCTTCCTCAGCTGCCTGAAAGCCATGGGCTACCAACCTAATACACATGATGAATCACATTCTTTATCTGGTACTTTTGACTGAGAGATAACCTGAGAGAACAGTGGGGGGAAGCTTATTGTGTACCGATTTCTCATGGAGTCTCTCACATGGTTTAGGCTAATGGACAGGCCTATCTCTGAAACCTGATGAAATCTCAACTGTTCCTGATGTATATTCCATTGACATGGCTGGTGGTTCAGTCTAAAGTCCTGTCCATTTTATGGAAGGCACAAATATTGTATTGCAGTAGTCAAATATGGCACGCATGCACACACATGCATGCACGCACATGCACACACACATACACACTTCTTGCTTGCTAAACAGAAGGACAACCCATTTTTAACTTGGGAGCTCACAGTTCTTGCTGAAGGAAGGAGAAAAACACCAGAAGATGCAAACGGTGAAGAAACCTGTGATAGTCCAACTAAACCTAAGGAAGCTCTTTTTATTCTCTTTTGCTTAGTCAGTGGCACTGACTGTTTTTTGCACTAAGGACTTCCCCCATTGTGTATGTGGAGCCCCATATTGCAGAACAGTCAAGTGCTTTGAGGTGGTCTACAAACTGATCCACAAGGGCTGTACGTAATTAAATCTTTGTTTATCTACCGTGACTGATCACTAAACACTTCAAGAGACAAGTCACTGTAATCTGTCTCAACTTGGGTTATGACCAGTTGCTGTTCTATTCATAGATGTATCCAGGAGGCCAAATTTTGTTGTTTTCATTGATTTTGAATGCATAGGCCATGCACCCTTCCAAGAAAGGAACTCCCCCCCAAAAAAGTACTCTCTGGGGCCCCCAAACATTATAAAAATGATAAACTGGACACAAATATCCCTTCTGAAAGCAAGGATACGGACTGATTTATCGTCCGAGATCAGACTATTTTAGTCTGGCATTGAGGCCTGAAAACAGCAGAGGCCTGCTACACTGACTTAGCAATGCTCTTAGGCCTCCTGGCAGTACACATGAAACTTGGAATGAAGCATTTGGAAACATCTACCGAGGTGACACTTGTAGACCGATAATACTTAGCTCTCTTTTCCTTGTCATGCAAGTGAGGGAGTTGGAAGTGCTGTCTAGACGAAGCCATGGACTGGATGTGGCCAATACACTGGCGCTCAGTCTTGACACGAGGTACTGTGGGGTGGGCGAGCGGGCCTCCTTGATATGGTTTTCAATTTGTTATACTCACAGTTGTATTCTCTCTAAATCAGTCTTCTCCAACCTGTCACTTTGAGATTTTTGGACTACAAGTCTCACAATCTCTGACTGACTGAGACTTCTACAAGATGAAGCCTGTCTTGCATGTTAAGGTTCACTGTTTGCAGGAGTGCTGATGAGCTTCAAGATACCAATATTGGGCTAAGTGACCTTTATGCCAGGAAGGCCTTCCCATGCCAACCCTAGCCAGTATGCCATTTGTAGTTGTGGAAAAATGTCACATGTGTTGCCTTTGAAGAATCTGCAGGGATTTGGTTAGTGATGCTATACAGCACAAACTGAAAGGTCATCTAACCAGTTTTACACACAAATACTGTACACTGTCTCTCACTCCATTTCCTGGTCGTATTGGCATATCAAGTGCCCTGGAGCTTAAAGAAGCCAATGTTCCCTCACTTCCATGCTGATCTATCTACTTTGGTTAGGCAAGCAACAACCAGATATAAGACCTTTCCAGTTATGGTGGAGCCTCACCTTTGCAATTCTTCAGACGCTGGTGCTAGCCTGCTGCTCTACTACATCCCGGCACTGCCCAATTCAAAATATGGAGACAATTTATTTGTCGCCACTATCTTTAGTAGCCTTTCTTTCCTGAACTTTTTAGTTTGCCTGAGAGTTATTTATTAAATGCCTATTCCCGGTTTTGAGTTAACCTGGGAGCAGAAATGGTAAAGGGCAACACATTCATACTGCATACTGTACAGTCTTCAAATACAACTTCTCTCAGCTCAGTTTGGGCTGCTCAGGCTCAGAATGCTAATTATCACAAGCTACACCCAAATCTGAGTACTTCTTATGTACCAGCAAATTTGATGAAACATGGTACTTATTGTATTTCGTATTATTCAATATTCATAATTTAATATTTTGTGAATGTCCCAAGTGCACCCACATTATCGCATGTTATATAGGTTGAAATAATAAATGTATGGTAACTGCAAGAGGACTGTCCAAGTTTGTGAGGTGTTCAAGGGATGGTTTACCGTTGGTGTCCCTAGTAAATACCTACGGCAGAACAGGGATTTCAACCCACGTCTCCCAAGTCCTAATCCAATGCCTTTACCAGCTCTCGGTATTTCTCAGGAAGATGGAAAAAGACCTTTGGTCTAGATGGGCAGGATAGAAATCCAATAAATAAATAAAATAAAAAGTGCACGAACTAGAACAAATCAGTGCTTCTCTGATAGGTTTAAGACAAAGTTGCACAAAAAATAAAGGAAAGAACAGAGAGAGCTGCCAAGTGCAGGAAGAAGGTGGGACATGAGAATCCATGCATGCTGACAGTGTAGTGTGAGCAGGTAGTTGGGAGAATCACCCTGCCTCCACTGTCTGATACAGAAACTTAGCGGTTGTATGAAGACAGATGAAACCTCATTAAGAACAAGCGCAAACACATTGGCACTCTCATGTCCATATGTCTCTGAGCAGTTCATTTTCTGAAGTGTTTTTGTTGTTGTAACTTTCAGTCTACACTGAACATCTACCCACTCCTGCTCATTGTTTTTTTCCCCCAAAGAAAACTTAACCACACATAAACACAGTTCCATGAAGGTTAAGACGGCTTTTGGAATTTATTCTTTAAAAAAAGGTAATGAAATTAAATACAAAAAGTTCTAATGCAATATTAAGGTTGGAAATTTAAAATACCCCCTCCCTCTGGGAAATGTAACATGAAAGGTTCTTAGCATAGCAGAAAGTTACCCACATCGAAGCAATGTGGTAATTTCAAAAGGTATGAGCAAACAGGAAATAGTCTCCTTTAATATTCACTGACCCAAATTCCACTGGTACTCTTCATGGAAGAAAGAAAAATATCCAGGAAAGCACAAACACAGCTCTGTGCTTTAAAAACATTTGGCAGTTCTTGACTTGATGCTTTTTCACTGGCTGCCTTTAACACTCCATCTGTTGAGAGGTGTTCTATATTCGCCATAAAGAAATGTGTGCTGTGTCACCTCCGTCCATTTTCCTTCCATCTCTCTCCTCTCTCGAGTGTGGCATAGAAGTAGGGAGGCTGACCAAAATATTTCAGATAATGCAGGAAGGACAAAAGATGGTACTGGCAAGGAAGAAGGCTCTTTCTCTCCGAGCAAAATCTACATCTTTCTATAGCCCACCACTTACTCGGCCTGATGCACTGCAGCACTTCCAAAGTCATTAACTCCCAGCACTGTCAGGAAGATGCAATTCTTGCAATTTCCCCTCAGGCTTTAATATTTGGGGCAACATGTCCCTCTCAAGTCTTCTGAAAAGTGCAAGGATGCCACAGTGGCCCATATCAGACTTTGTCTCCTCCCCCCCCGGTGCAACCCCCCAAATTCCAACTTCTATACTTGGATCGTGAGACTTCTTAACCCTTCATCCCTGCCATCTCTTGACAGTGTGCACAGTGAGAACAGGCTTTAGATCAAAGCTGCTTACATTTCATTGTGATGGAAAAAGCAGCAAGTTCACAGTTCTAAGAAGCTGCATAGAGCATGTAAGAGTTCCCATTCTCAGATTCCCTCACTCATCTCTGTCCATGTCCAAGTCATGGTGCACACTTTTCTTACCCTCTTATTATTTTTCTTACCAAGCCCTGAAAGAGTTCTTAGGGGTCATTTTTCAGAAATCTGAAAGTATATGAAAGTATAATTGATGCCCTCTGGGGGAAAACCATTTTTGCCTCATTCTGACCCAAAAATGTTGCATGTTTAAAAACTATTTGACCAAGGGCCAGATTTATAAAAAGAGAGGCATTACTGCATCTACCACAGGTAGAAGCAGTGACCTCACCTAACACAGTTTGCACCTGCACCCAGCCTTAAGAGTCCTCACTGACCTGTCCCGAGCATTATTCATGGTTCATGAAAGCATCAGTCGGTCCTGAAACAGAAAGAGCTCTCGGCTCCCAATTTTGGGAAAAGAAAACCATCCACAACAAATGTCTGCCTTGAATATGAGAATCTACTGCCAAATGTACACATGAAGGAGAAGCTGGAAATACAACTCTTGTCTCAACAAACCGAATGGACATTAGCACAGGACAACTTTAGTGACTTCTCAAAATCAGACCTAGGCCATGAAATGCTGTTTGCCAATCTCAGGAAGTCCACTCTCCATGACTCTACTTATGTCTTGCACACAAAAAAGGCAACAAAAAGTCCTGTAGCTCCAACAATTCTTGAGACAATGATCAGACGTGTGTAATCCAGACCAGGCAATCCACACCTTGAGGGGAAGAGCACGCAGGATGCTGCTGGACATGCGTGCACAAACAAAGTGCAGCGATACATGCACACATACAGAAGTCATGGCCACGCCAACTTCACCATAGTCCCCACAACCAAACCCCAGTCTTGAAATATTTATGCACCCTTTTGATTTCAATGGGTCTATGTGTGAGCTGGGAGAGAAAAGAGGAAGAGGAAGGAAATGTCCATCAGTCCAGGTCAATTCCAAGTATACAGGATTATTAGGCCACCTGGAAGTTTTTCTGCACCCACCAAATCCTTTCTGCACTCCAGGAAGCATAGCATGGTGGACAAAAGTCCCCCTCCCAACATGCTCCCGCTGAGCTGGCCCTCATGGATGAGGGGACATGCAATCATCACATTCTTTATTTGGACATGCTGCCCAAAACTGCCAGCGCCTTCACCCATACAGGAAGACATCCAAACCAATGTACTCCCAACCTCCCACCCTCAACCCCCATGGTATGTGCATGCCTGCTAAGAGCATCCTTCCCACCAAAATTCCAACTCGCTTTTGTATGCCGCCCCCCCCCCACTTCTGCCTCTCATGACCCACATGATACCCGGAACATTGAAATGATGGCCAAGAAACCACAACAGGAAAGAGAGAAGGGGGCAGGGTAACTTCAAGATGAAAAAGAGTGCATGGGAGGTTACAAACAAACAAACAAACCAAGGATTGAAAATAGAAGTGTGCAAGGATAATGCATTTTATAAACACAGATAGAAACAGTTACAGCAAGGACAGAGCAGGCTGGATGGGGTTGGGATGTGAATAGATATATCTATCTATCTGTATATATATTTATATATATTTATATATAAATTCAAAAGGGGAGGGGGCACGAGTCTGTTTTGGGGGAATTTCCCCCTTCTCATTGGTCTCTCCGTGCACGGATGGGTTTGCACCATCTCCTCTTCTTCACTGTCCACCCTCGGGAAGATTCCTCTGATTCTTGCTCTCCAAGTGTCACCACCACAGCCACCTCATTCCAGTCTGCCTTGGCAATAAGGAGAGTGAAGGAAGCATCTGGATGATGGATAGAGAGGAGCAGATCAACAGTTCCCTTTCCCACTGGCCCCTCAAAAAATGTCCTCCTTTAAGCCTGGGGTTGCAGCCTCTGATTTCTTGGGGAAGGGAAGGGGAGATAGAAGGGCCACCTCTCCTGCCTTTTTTTTTTCTGGGGGAGGGAGGACACCAATGCTCCTTTTGGCACTCTTACCCACTTACTGTGTTTTTGGTTCAAATTTTGTATTTATGTCTACAGCTGGAGCTGAAGCCATGGAAGGGTGGCAGCTGCAACCTTACCCCCACCTCCCACAGAGTAATGCATCCTGCAGTTGACTAGGAGAAGGGAGTCCCTTCCCCAGCAGCCGTCTATGGGACTTGGCTGGGCTGAAGTGTGGGACAAAACAGCAGATGTTCTCCACTCTATGCCCAAAGGGAAACGCTCCCAGATTCCCTGGCGTGGACCTTCACGGACCAAGAAGCAGCCCGTGCTCCTTTCGTGCTCCTGCTTCCCCATATTTTCAGTCGCTCCCCTAGTACCAGGTGCTCTTTTTTCATACTATAAAATGAGACAGAAATGGGGACTTTCCCTTGTCAAACCAAAGATGCCTCCCAAGGGGAAGGTCCCTCTTGCGAGGAGGGGGCTCTCTTCCTTCCTTCCTCTATGCTGAAAGGACGACATTGCGCCCTTTGAGGCACCAAGGGTGAAGCCAAGGAGTGGCCACAAAACAGGGAGAATCCCATTCCCCTCCCGACCCCCCACCCCACCCCCCAAGGAAGCTGTGTAGCAGAAGAGGCCAGAGGTTGTTGCATGAGGAGAGGCCATCACACAAGAAATGCCCTTGGGCACAGATTATGCACGAGAAGTTTTCCACTCCCCTCTGCCAAGGTCTCTAGGAGCTGGAAAGATGCTCCACTTGGATGGTGCTGGTGCTAACCGTGAGACAGATGTCTTTGTGATGCTCCGAAGTCTTGTAAGGGGTAAGGTCAAAGGAGCACTGGGGTGGGGGGTTGGGGTTGTTGTCTGCAGATGGGCCCCCAGTTGCCCCTGCACCCTGCGCCTGGAAGTGCTGCTGCTGTTGCTGCTGCTGCTGCTGCTGTTGTTGTTGCTGCTGCTGTTGCTGCTGCGATGCCTGTGTCTGAGCTTGCACTTGGGCCTGAACCTGGGCCTGCACCTGGGCTTGCACCACTGCCACCTGCTGCTGGGGGTCAGGGATGTTGTGTTTCCGCATATGCTTCATCAGGTATGTCTCCTGGGAAAGGAGGGAGATTAAAGATAAAATGAGAGACAAGGATGCCAACAGAAGCGCCAACCATTTCCTCCATTCCAAGAGCGACACTGGGAGGGAACTGATCTCCGGTGCAGAACTAGCCGGCCTGATTCTCCTGCTGCCTCCTCTCCTGCGCCCCCAAACCAAAAGGGTGGTTCTTACCGAGGTGTAAGCCCGATTACACATGGAGCAGTTGTAGATCTTGGCATGCTTCACCGTGTGGGTGGCCAGATGAACCTCCAACGAGGTGGCATCTGTGTACGCACGGTGGCAATTGTGGCACTTGAAGGGCTTGTCTTTGTTGTGCTGCCGTCTGTGGGACTGCAGAGGTGGAAGGATGGGAAAGAAAAGGCGTGCAATGAAATTAGACTGAAGGACATTGTTTCCACATTCATGTAAGGCCACCACGAATTGCAACAACACTAGGATGGACACAGACTGAGTTAGTAATTGAAATTCAGTTTCACTGAAATCAGTGGGAACCAAATACAAGCCACAGCAGCTCAGTAACTGTTCTAACTCTAAGGGCTTCTGGTGGATTCTTTCGGTTCCTTTTTTTGCTCTTGTCCGTTTTATCCGCATGCCCCTCTTTGAGCCTTTTAATGCTGCTAACAACCAGAACAACCCCGATCTAGTTCATCCTTTCACTGATTCCCTGCTTATTCAGAGCTGTACACACATGCTTCCAGAACTCTATATTCCTGCCCTTTCCTTTGCATGATCCAAAAAGACAACTTCCCAGATGATGAGACAAAGAGTTCAATAAGACTGTTCCTGCACTTTATGATGAGTGGCGAGGAGATGTCTCCCTCTGTCAAAGAAGGGGGAAAAATTAAAACACTAGCCCTGCAGCCAGCTAGCAGAGCAGGGACAAGGCTCCACCTCTTTTGCAGCCCCCCTGCTGCATTTCAGTGCTAAGCAAAGAAGAAAGGGAGGGATGAACTGCCTGCTCCTCTGTTGTTGGTACACAGTTCTCTGTCACCTGTGCCTGTTGCATAACATTGAGACATTAATCCTCTTCAATAGAAAGTCCTTCCCATCTCTGAAGGAAGAATATAGAGCTCTCCCCTTTTAGACGTCAGTGTGGATGAAATTTACACTTTTACCTGTAAGTTGGAGAGCTGTGTGAAAGCTTTCTCACACCCAGGATGTGCACATTTGTAGGGCCTGTCTCCAGTATGGATCCTAAAAGAGTAAGGAAAAGCACCAATGCAAGATTAGGAGAGGAGAAACCAAAGCAGAATCCCACTCCCAGATGCTCTGAAGATCCCTTACAGCTGAGCTAGAAATGCAAGAGATGCACCACCCACCACCAGGCTTCTGTATTCATTCCTCTGGTGAACGCAAAGGCCACCTCCTTCCTAGCCCCACTGAGCTCAGTAAGCTAAGAGGAAACACATGCAAGATCCAAAGGAGAGGGGCAAGCAGCTCATGGGCAAGAGGCAAGCTCACAGTTACTGCAGTCATCTGTGGCTGTGCCAGGGCAAGGAGAACAAGATCTCGGTCCAAGCTGGTCAGTAGGTTCTTTTAGTCTGCCTTCCACAATGCCAAAGGATGATCCCAAGGATCCGCTCATCTGACTTCCAACACACATAGGCACAACTTCTAGCCAAAACTGCTTGAGAAAATTATGGACCCTCCAGCCCCGAGACACCCGTGAAAGATTCCACACCCTCCGTAGTCACATTTTGTCACCCTTTAGTTCCCTATAGGTTGGGACCCCACAACCCCATGTCTCTTGTCTCTCTCTCTGTGACCCCCTGGAAGGGGGGGGTGAAGAGTGAAAAAAGGATTTCCCCGGGGCCAAAATGTGCCCACCTCTGCCCCCTGGCATGGTCAGCGCCTCCTCGGCAGCGCCCACTCCATCCTCTCTGGTGGGCCACGTCTTTCCAATTGACAGGGCTGGTCACATTCCCCCACCCACCCTTTGCACGCTAGGCGTGTGTGCTCCAAAAGGTGCATGCTGATGGTACGGGGGGCCAGGCTGGGCCCCCAGCCTCCTTGGCCCTTACCGTGTGTGCTGCTGTAGGTGGGAGAGCTGGCGGAACGCCTTCTGGCAGTAACGGCACGTGTAGGGTTTGACCCCCGAATGGATGCGGAGGTGCTGGGCCAGGTAGGACGTGTTGGCGAAGCTCTTGGAACAGTGAGGGCACTTGTGTGGCTTGACAACCGCCGTGTGGAGCTTGGAGTGGATCCTGCCGAAGAGGAGGAGCAGGGGCAGCAGTTGGACATGACCGCCAGCTGGCTAGCAATGACAACATGAGGAACGGCACCATGCTGTCTGGCTACAATGGAGGAAAACCAAGTGGGATTCTTGCCCTGGACTCCACAAAGAGGGAGTGAAAGACCGAGACCTTGCTACGCCAGGAGGCCAGAGAGAGGAGGAGGTGATGGTAGAGGGTGTGTGCAGGGGAAGCTCAAGGCTGAAGTAGGGCAGCAGAGAGGGCTGCCCCCTCAAGTGTCCTGGGCACAGGGGAAGCTATTGGTCCTACATCCACAGACTTGAGTCACCCACATATAAGACACATCCCTGTCTTTGATGGCAAAAGAGCCCCTTAACTCATCATAAGCTGTCCTTTGGCAGAGGACCACGTAGCAAGCATTAAGGGCCATGAACACTTACTTTGCAGTTTATGGGCAGAACCACTGGCAACAGATGGCAGAGCTGCCATGAGCAGTCTCCCATGGGCAGCTGCACCATGCTAAGACGCTGGCTGCATGCAACATGGATGCCTCCCACCCCAACCTCCCTGGCCCTTACCGTGTGTGCTGCTGTAGATGGGAAAGCTGGCGGAAGGCCTTCTGGCAGTAGCTGCAGGTGTACGGCTTGGCTCCTGAGTGGATGCGTATGTGCTGGGCCAGGTATGAGCTGTTGGCGAAGCTCTTGGAGCAGTGAGGGCACTTGTGAGGCTTTGCCTCGGTGTGGGATTTGGAGTGGATCTGCATCTCTGACTTAGAGTAAAATGTTAGGGAACACATCCGACACCTGAGAGGAGGATGAGAGGAAAAGAGAAAGACCGCGTCACACAAGGGCAGCCAGGTGGATTGACCCAGGGAACGGACCATCCCAGAACGGCATTCCCTAATTCACTGAGATGTCCTAAAGTTTGTTCTCATGAAGTACAGATACCCAAAAAGTGTGCTGCTTATATACCGCCCCATAGCGCTTCAAGCACTCTCTGGGTGGTTTACAAGTTAATTATGCAGGCTACTCATTGCGCCCCCCCCCTGCAAGCTGGGTATTCATTTTACCAAAGCGATCTGGGTACTCATTTTACCGACCTCGGAAGGATAGAAGGCTGAGTCAACCTTGAGCCAGCTACCTGGGATTGAACCCCAGGTCGTGAGCACAGGTTTGACTGCAGTACAGCAGTTTAACCACTGCACCACAAGACTTAAGGTAGCTATAATTACCAATGGTGTATTGGGGCCAGGACGCACAGGGTTAAAGTTCTGGCACATTTTGAGCAGCTATCTGATGGCATCTGCCAGCTTCCTAAGGCATCCTTGTTTTCTCTGAACTGAGCTGCGATTCTCATAGTAACTGGGAGAGAAATGGATTTTCCCCAGAACTGTATATTGTTGCAAACTATTCCTATTGTAATGCAAAGCATCTGAGCATTGTTTTTGTCTTGAACAGGCGTGGTTTTTGTCTTGACTTTACAAAGTGTTTGCTCCTGCCTTCTGGGAGGGCCAGGCTTGACTATGGGAATTGCCACAAAGAACATCTACAATTCCAAATTTATCACTACGCCACTGGTAATTACGCTACTGTGTAGATCAGCTATGCTAAATATTTTTAACAAATGCTTTTAGAGAGACAATATCCAGTCACAGCAAATGCTTCCTAGAATTCCATGTGAACTTCACCTCAGCAACCATGGAACCTGAGTCCACAACTTAGAACAGCCTTCCCGAAAGCAGTGTGCTCCTATGTTCCCCAGCCCACAGAACCAGGACAACAGGAAAGTAGGCAGCACATTTTAAGAAACAACTTTGCTTACTGCACAATCTAAGGGTGGAACCACCGGCAGCAACTGGCAGAGCTGCCTTAAGGAGTCTTCCCATGAAACAATTAATAACTAATTAATAAACAGATGATAATTTTTCCCAATACTGCATCCAGTCTATTTCTGTCTCATGGCAGTGTCTAAAAAACTGATTTAATAATGTTTTGAATTTTGTCACAGTTAACTAGGCTGAGCATCGTAAGAATAAAAACACAGAAGAATCACCACTACCCAAACATTCCCATTGTGTGTGAAGAATGAAATACGTAATTATGTTGACTTTCCAGCCTGTTCTTTTCCAGTATAAACTGGGTTCAGTGATGCATTACAGCAGAGTTGGGCTAAATATGCCCCCCTAGACCCTTCCAGTTCCCCCATGAGGGGGAACATTTTTTTCTCTCAGTTGAAAGGTATACAGTCATTTATATCTTGTTAAGACAACATTCCATAATCCTACAGGAAATCATGGGTGTCTGCTACCTGCCACCAAGTTGCTTCTGACTTACACTGGAAGAAAAATTAACTCATTTGATCATTCACATTTTTATTCAGATAAAATTGTAAATACTCAGGGCGGTTCCCTGTCTGAAAGAAAAACCGCCACCTTAAACAAAGCAAAACTGAACGTAAGGCAATGGACATGTTCAGACATTTAAAAAAAAAATCTTGCGGACATGCTGCCAGGCTAGAGCACACTGTTCCTGTTTGTAGGGGAAATAGATACAAACAAACCACCGACCTTATGTCTATGATTGGTTTAAGGTTATATCCAATGTGGCAGGAGCCAGCAACTGGGCAGAAAAACCACTTTAGAACAAACCATGGTTTATTTCGTTCGCATGTCATGAGAGAGACAAGCCAGACAGCTGGCTCCTGGTCAGAATGGATGTGATGCTAGACAAACCATGGATGGAGCCTGTGTTTTCTTGAGCCGCTCTTCCTACAAGTGGGAGTGTTTGGGCAAAGAGTACAAGCAGCATGCTGTTCATCGCCAAGAAGCCACAGTTCCCATAGAGCCATGCCTTGCTATGAGAGCCAAACCAAGTCATTAAGGTGGCTTAAGACAAGAGAAATCATTTCCCCGTTGTTTCCCTTCTTCTGGGCTGCCCGATTTTGGCTCATGTTCCCATGAGGAAGTCACCTTGCGAAAGCTAAGTAAGCCTCAGCTTGTTTAGTGTCCCCACAGGAACAGGTAAGAAAGTCTCTGTATCTTATCTGGTGTTCTGTAATGGAAGAAATATAAATGTACTCAATACACAACCAACCCGCTTACTTCTTTAGGAAGCTGGTCACCTGTCCGGCTTCATTTATACATGTACATGGTGGGGAAAATCAGCCCCACTGGGGGATCACCAATCCCCTTCAGTTTACACAACTGAATTTAGCAAGTAAGGGCCACAATGGGAGAGTAGGAAAAGCAGATTTCTGTCCGTGCTGTCCCTCAGTTCCTCAACTAATAAACAAGAAGTTAACGATGCAATTATTTGCTTTTAATTTGATTTAAGATGCCTTTCTGCAACTCTTGAACCTTCATTCTTTCTGAGCAAGATTCTGAAATACTACATAAATGGGGGTAACCCTGAATGGCCCATTGTATTGAGTATTGACACCATCACCATGGAGGTGATGTCTGGATACCTCGTCCTCAAACCACATGCCTCCAACAACCCCAGATATTTAGAGGATATACAACTGATTTCTTAATGAGGAACATCAACACACAACACATACAGCTCCTTTTACTTCTTGACAAACCTACCTTGATAACTAGTTCACTGAGAGCATAGATATGTGAGAATTAGGCACAAACAGCAGAAGTGCCAAACGTAATACAGTGGGGTCTTGACTTACGAACGGTTCGAGTTGCATACTTTTTGACTTATGAACTGCTCTGAGAGGAAAATATTTCCTTGAGCTACGAACGTTATTTTGAGTTACACCCCCCTGCCAAGCTTTGCCTCTCTGCTCTGGCCGCCGCTTCTCCGTGCTCGGGCAGGCCCTCCCCGCACAGCCACACCCCACCCCTGCTGTCTGCTCTCTCCCCCTCACCCAGGGGGCTCCTCTCCCTCCGCTCCCACGTGCTTTGCCTCTCTGCTCCTGGCAAGGAATCTGGCCGCCCACGGTTGCAGGTAGCCCCTTTCACTCCATGGCCACCCATGCCTTGCCTGACTTTCCTCCCCTCCCCTGCCGTCTCTTCTCTCTCCCCTCACCTGCACCCGGCAAGGAATCTGGCCGCCACCACCACCGAGAGCTGGAGCAAAGTCCCCCCACCCCCCACCCCGGCAGCCAGGTCCAAACTGAGCCAAGAGACCAGCTCAAAGGTAGGAGAGACTGGCACGGGGGAGTGGGAAGAAAGGACTGAGACTGGGAGGACTTTTCTAGGCAGAGAGAGATGTGTTTGTTCTAGAAGGCAGGCATTTTTGTGCTGGAGGAATGGTTGCTAGATTCTGTGCCTTGCTCTGTGTGTGTGTGGGGGGGTGGTTAAGGCTTGGCTTGTTTGAAAAAGTGCTTTGCAAACTGTTCTGTTGTCTGAAAGGTGCTTGCTTTAAAAGGTGCTCCCTCCCTCCTTTGCTTGGCCCTTTCCCCCCAAAAAGGGCTTGGCTCGGCTGAAACGTGTTTTGCAAACTGTTCTG